CCCACGATTGTCAGATTTAACCCCGCCTGAATTTTTATTGTGGGGTTACCTGAATGGCACGGTGTGTAGCATAAAGCCAGCCAACACTTACGGTGTTGATCTGGATATCGCAGGTTCGAGTGTCTGGGAAGATATTCGATTTACAGATGAGGATGATAATGATTAATTTATTATTTTCAATTATACGTGTCGAACGATTAGGTCTATGGTAAGATTTTGGGCAATAAAGAGTGTTATGAAATTTATGAATTTTTCCGAAGAGTGGGAAGATGGGCCCAGGGGTGGCCATTGAGACAAAAAAAATCTGAGATCTCACTCAGGATTTTTTTGTAAGACAGCTCGTAAAAAAGTAATAATATGTAATGAATGGAATCAAAAAATTCTGTAGGCACACAATCGGGCAAGTGCATTTTATTAAAGATAACTGCATTGAGGTGGTTGGCCTACCTCATGGAGATACTCCACAGCTTCGATTATTTCCGCGAGGTATGATCTGGTTTCCTCACTTGTAAATTTCTCCAACTCCGTTAAAAGATAGGACAGGTCGCCACCTGCATAATAGTCTGGAACGGTAATAACAAAACTTGTTACTTTTCGGAGGTGTTTTGGTCGTGCGTGAAGTAGTGAGTGACCAGCCCACTGACTCTGCACAATTTCTACTCAATCCCGATTTGACTGCCAGAGCCATCTAGCGGTCAATCATGAGACTTTGAGTGAGAAATGGCCGCTGAATTTTACGAAACATCTCGTATTATGCTCGTAAGTTTATTTTACATGCCGTAAATCTACGACATATATATTCAGTTAGAAAACTGTTCTGAAGTAACCATCTTATCTTTATACTGAATGGAATCAGGAAAGGGCTTTGATGTAGTCTGCTTACCCAGAACTAAGCACAACAATGTGGATGTGTGGAAAGTGTAGTACAGTCCCACCAAGAACGGAGACTCGGAAACTCTTTCGTGTACATCACGCTCAACACAATATTCTTCAGCACCATATTTGACAGCCGCCATTTTGGAGACAACCATCGTCTTTACGGCATACAATGCTCCATCATCTGCACCTCCCCTCTTGCGACTTAGGTAAACTGTTCCAAAACCTATAACAACACCAATTTATGTTTCATGTTAGTATCTGCTCGACAGTGGGCCCCATAGGGTGACAGAATCTCTCATAACTCTGTGATATTTCCATTGTTATAACTATTAATGTTATAACACGTGTCTATTGAATATTATTTGGAAGGTCGTCGATCCAGTAATACAAAACTTTATCCACGATGTGATTAATTAGAAATTTTGTTGAGACACAAGTGAATTTTTCGAGACAAATTTTTGTTCAGCAGAATGTGACGTACTCAATTTTTTACGAGCCCCTAAATCTGAGCTTGTTAAAATAAAAGACAAAATGTGCCACTTATTTATCAGTGACGATTTTGAGTATATTTTAGTATTAATAAAAATTAAAACATCATTTACATCAAAACAAGAATCAGGCCACAGAAATTTGTTTTTGAAAATAGGTTCTTATTATTTTTTATCACCCTGTAATTCAAGGCTATATTTCACTCCAATTTCGACAGGAGTGAAATTAAACATCTCCTGGTCTCTTCATTATCTGTATACTTGCTTACCAGAATTACATTAGTGACTCTGTCATTAAATCCGTCCTTGAGGATGATAAAAAGAAAAAGTGTGGTTATGTGCATTTGGTGATAAGTTTAAGAATTGATCATATCTTTTCCCGGGTGACATTCAAGAAGAATGTCAACTTATCCGAGAAAGAGTGGTATTGTTAACAAAAGATTCTGAGCGCCTTAGTATATGCAGATCAAAATTCTGAGCTGCTTCAAATCATCTTGAAGCAATAAAAGTTCTCTGACATTTCTGATCAAGTCTTGGCTCTGAGTTTAGTAAAAATTTGATTCTGTTTCGCTTGTTAGTATTTACACATGTCTGAATGCAGTAACTCTTGAAACTGATGTTTAAAACCTTTCTTGTTTCTGCATTTACGTTTGCATAAATGTAATTGTAATCCTGGGGTCTCGGGTTCGAATTTATAACTTGTGTTGGGCAAGGCCGTGGTCTAGGCAACACGGAGTTTTCCTCCGTGGCATCCCAACAATTACTCCATTCACACACAGAAGAAGGCAATGGCAAACCACTTCTGGATCATCTGCCAAGAACGTATATGAACAGGTCCCAGTCCGAGAAAAGGATGGAAGGATCCTGTTCATATGGACCTGTCGTCAGACAGAACACTAAATAAAAATAAATAAATGTAACTCGTAAGAGTGTTCCTGAACTGAGGCTGAGCTCCCACTGAATTACTTTTATTATTCTTTTGCCAACTGATCTTGAGGTGTTCAAAAGATAAACCCAAGTTTTTACAGAAAATTACACTTACCTCCTTTTCCTAGAACTTTCAGCAGCGTGAAGTCTTCCAATTCGGGAAGGCTGGTCTCTGAATTATCGACTGTAATAAAGAATCATAATTACAGTCATGACCTAAGGTCACTTAGCCTACACACATGATTAAAGAAATTTGTACGTAACATGTTTAAAATTTTCTCTGCAACACAACTTCGACGTGATAAAACGTCACTTATCTTGGCATATGGAGTAAAATTGTCCAGTATCACGCGTCTCAATTCGTGTTCTTCGTGAGTCAGTTCATGTCACAGCAGTTAAATACTTTCTGTCTCAATAGGAAATAACACAAAATTGTGCGTGTTTCGTCACATACCTGAAGAATTAAGCAGTTTGGCCTTTTCACAGATACGAGCAGGCGGTTCGTTCGCAAGGAGCAAATTAATTGCCCGCTCCCGTCTCTTTATATCAGCGCACTGGCAGCAGCAGTGCTCATCGGAGCCCTCAGTACTGACCGAGTCCCACACTGAGCCCCAGTCCGAATCGGAGTCCGACTCCGGGCCCGAGTCAGAGTCCCACTCCGGGCCCCAATCCGAGTTCTCACTGCTGTCTTCCCATTCTTGGCAGCCTGGGACCTTCTGGGCTTTCATGACGTCAGGTTTGCCACGATTCTGAAAAATAAAAATTATGACGCGCGCGTTTAAACACTGAGAAATCGCATTGTACAGTCTGTAACACCAGAAAAATAACAGTTGTTCCGAAACTTTTCTTTACAACTCTAGACAGTAGCAAACATTTCCCTGAGCTGGATCTGATTTTAATGTCTTACTTTCCTCTTGTGGTTCAGAATTATCTCATCGACGCACGGTTGCCACAAACCTTCAATTTGAAAGAAATATCTGCGGAGCGCAATAAAGCGAGCCTGTACGGCGATCCTATAATTATTTTGACGACGTTTCAGTGGTGATTGCTGCCTGTATCATTACCCAAACACCTCTTGAACGCCGGTAGATTTTTCCAGAGTACTCAGACAACCCAGAAGACACGGTCATGTCCTATTTAAGCTCCCTAGACTCTCTCGAAAGGATGGAAAATGATTTTCTTACCTGATTGTTCTTGATTTTGCTGTATTCTCCTTCTTCCTGTCTATTAATTATGATTCCATCACTGTTATCTTGTAGCTTCAGATTCTCATTTTCGGCCGAGAATCTCCCTGCAACTTTATTTAGCCCGTTTATGTTTCCACTGCGACATTTCTCCTCGACGTCCGTCATTTTAACATCCAGTTTACGAATGCCAAAATCCGTCACATCGCCGTCATCTAATCTATGTACTTTCTTACGAAAACCCTTGAGTTCTTTTTCTATACGAGCAGACTTATCTAACAGAACGAACACCTTTTCTCTCTCCACTAATAATTCATCTGAGAATTTCTTAATTCTATCTTTTACGCTCGGGCATGAACTTCGTCTGTGTCCTTGATTCAATTCCTCCATATCCTGTTCGTTATTTTGTGAATGTACAACTTCGTTCGTCGGCTCTGGAGGTAATTTCTTATAACCAATCGCGTTTCTCTTCAGGAACCTACAGTCAAAAAAAAAAAATTAGATGTATCAGACTTCATTCTAATATTTTTATAGCAACTCGAGATTCAGAACTCATTTAATATCAATTTATATGTATGATTATATTTATATTGCTAAATATTTTGCTCTCGTACGGTCGGAATAATTTTGTTATTACATTAAAATTAAGTGCGTGTGTAGAATATATAAATACAGATGATAAGATAATTAATGGTCACAATCATAAGCTAATAATACAAGGATTTTCAAATAATGAATTCCGTAATTGTTCAGTCTACTGATATAGCATTTTGAAGAATCTGGCAACTGTGGCCGATTTAACTAATCTATTCCATCATTTCTGAGGCAGATTTAAACAACTTCAGTGAAGGAACTAACAGGTACTTCGTGAAGGCGCCCGTCACCTGTTATATTAACCCAATAATAACAATTTATGTCATTCCAAAACTTCATTTTGATCTTAAAGCTTTTGAAAACTAAAAGTTTAGTCCTAAGTCAATAGCCTTAGCAGTTGATGAAAATCGTGTATAAATCTAATAAGAGTCTGGAATTTAGTACAGTACAATTCACATACCAACTATCGCCGTTCTGGCCGAAGGTTTGGGAGTGGTGGCCGATCTGAATGTTCTTGCGGTCGCAAAGTTTGTCACGACTCTGAAAAAAAACCCAGAAGGGATGATGATATGTGCATCAGACAGGCCTTGTTTATTGTACAATGAAGTTACCAAAGTCTCGTGGTCTGTAACATTACAAAAAATAATATTATTCTGAAAATTGTGTGTCCTTGTATACCCAAGGATCCGGGGGTTGTCGTCAATTTTCGAATTAGTGATCGTATACATCCGTGGTGAAAACGCTTACAGAATTTATGTGGAGTGGATAGGTGGGGCTTTCTTACACAATTTCAGTGACTTTCTGTGTCTCCCAGTCCGAGAAAAGGATGGAAGGATCCTGTTCATACGGACCTGTCGTCAGACAGAACACTACAAATAATAATAAGATGAGGTGGTCCAGCGGTTAGAAGGCTGGCCTTGTAATCCTGGGGTCTCGGGTTCGATTCCCGGCGGTGCCCGAATTTATAACTTGTGTTGGGCAAGGCCGCTAGCTGTTAGAACGCTGGCCTTGTAATCCTGGGGTGTCGGGTTCGAATTTATAACTTGTGTTTGGCAAGGCCGTGGTCTAGGCAACACGGGGTTTTCCTCCGTGGCATCCCCACAATTACTCCATTCACACACAGAAGAAGGCAATGGCAAAGCACTTCTGGATCATCTGCCAAGAACGTATATGAACAGGTCCCAGTCCGAGAAAAGGATGGAAGGATCCTGTTCATATGGACCTGTCGTCAGACAGAACACTAAATAAATAAAATAAATAAAAAAACAAAAAAAACATTATTTATGCCTCAGAACGCAAATGTGCGAAGAATGCACGCAGAAACCGTCTTCCGGCACGGATTGAGGCTTAAAAGTCTTGTTAAGTCGAATCATGATCGAAACGCGGATATTAATTACATCGTCTATCTTTGTTGTGTTCAAACAGCTCGACTGTAATTCTACAGGAAGTCGAAGGCTGATCGCCCTTTTGTTACTTACACGTCGTCGAAATGATCGTCTGCATGCGCTGTATATTAACTTCAACATAATTGGACGGACGAAATTAAATAAATGCTCAATCCTCTTACTGTCTACAGTCGCACTGGCAATGACTTCGAGAGCTTTTCCTTTGTTGTTAACGAAATGCAACCGCGGAAACCGAACTTGTTGATTTACAACAATTGAAGAGCCCTTCAAAATTAATTTCTATTGTTGACGAAGCTGTCGTTTCTAGTCGATTGTTTACATGCCCCATGTTCCATTTCACGTTTTCTAGGAAGGATTCGAATGTTAAATATTTTAAATCGAACACTTTTAGGTTATGTAACGACCACACTGAAAACATTCTGTACTGTAATGTGTTTAGTTCATGCCCTGTAGACGGGAGGCAGCTTCGCTCTCAAGTCGTGGAATTTGTAGCTTTTCGTTGTTATGAATGAAGTATTTTAATAACCTCAACAAATTAAACATTAGCCACGGTGTGGACCGTCTTTGGGTGGAGCGGCTGAATTCCTCTGACCTTTGCGATCTAGAAGGGCGTATGAAGAAAATAGTTCTCGCCTGTGAAACTACTGGCACACTGATTCACTATGAATGTATGCCGCACCCCCTAGCGGCAGAAGCTCGTACTACATCCGGTTCGCCCTCTATTGACACAGTCTTGAAACTTTCCGATCGCATCTCGTAATTTAACGTCGATATTTAACTCGATAACGGCTGAATTTCATTTATTAAACTTAGACGTGATCATTTTAACTAAAATATCTCGACACAATTGCAGTCCTGACAGCAATGACGGAGATTTTACGTGCGTTTCTGTTCACATATCGATCGTAACTTGATAAATATTTATCGAAGCAAAACCCATTTTTTTCCTAACAAAAGTTGTTTTGAGAAACTGAACCCATATTTAATTACGAAATCTTTTTTATCGTAAAGCCTCGCAGCCTTTGAGGTAATTAAGCAAAATGTTTTTCTATCATAACTCATGAACATTTGGGCTGATTTGGGATCAAATTTGGCGTTGTTGGCTCCACTTGTTCTGAGATACTTTTAAGAGAGCTTCCCAGGACAGGGACCGGTGGAGGGCTTTGGTTAATTCGGTGATGAACTCTTACCCGTGTTCAGCGTACATAATAATAATAAAAGTAATAATAAGAAGAAGAAATTGAAAGCAAAAGTAATCCCAATAATTATATGAGCAACTGGAACTGTCTCAAAGTCACTCAGAAAGTATTTGGCCAACATCCCGGGCGAACACGACATCAGGGATCTGCAGAAAACTGCCATCTTAGGATCTTCATACATCATTCGAAAGACGCTGATGTTAAATATATAATTCCTCACAATAAAACTATATAATACATGTAACACGTGTTAAAAACAAAATGTATTCCGGAAATAGCTGCTGTCCTATGTACCTCAGGGGCAAGGTCTGTCTCGGTACCCTATAAAAGGGTGAATAGATGGGATGATGATAAAATCTTTTGCAGTCGAAAATCATTTATCTCCGCCGTGATTCTGTAGCCAAGGTCGATTTAAAGGGTTAAACTTTCTAAAGCCCAGTTGTAACTAACTACATGTTCTACCCACGGATTACTTTCGAAAAAAAAACATTAAACAGCTGATCATTATTACTGAAATGCTTTGTGTTTTCTTTGAGGTCCGGATATGGAAACAGCAGCTTCAAAGGGTTTTTTTTATAAGCAATTAGTACACACAAATCGGGTTTATTCTTTATTATACAGTATAATTACTTACTGTACAAAAGTATTACAAAGAATTAGGTAAACTTCATTTCAATTATTTATAAAACATTATCCAGGTATCAGCTGATTAAATCTCGAGGTTTCAGGAACCATCTCGAAGATTTCGATCTTCTGGGTTGTTGCGCTGAGTCTGGTAGATTTCCACCAACATTTCAAGGTCATACTGCCTCCGTCATCAGGGCGATGTATGACCTCTGAAACTACACAACAACCCAGAAGATAGAAATCTTCAAATCTTTTTTTTCATGGAGTGAGGTTGCGAACCTCACGCCCAACCCTCACTCCGTGAAAAAAAAAGGTTTGTTTCGAAACTTCAAGCTAGATTTACTGAACATAAAACACTGAGGAGTGATATTTTTCTTCTTAGTTTCGTCCAACGTTTCATTTGTCGTTCACCGTCTTATTTACCACTGTGACGACGCCCTATCACGCACTCTTTATTATTATCATCATCATCATCATCATCATCAGTGTCATATTGAACTTCGATTTCGACTTAAAAATCGACTTTTTCAAAAAGGTCTTTTATGCATTGTTCGGGGCGTTGTCGTCGTCGAAGTCTTCGTGTTTCTGTCCCTCTCGTTCTTGGTCGTCTTGTTGGTTTTCTTCCCCGTCCAGAGCAGCAAACGTTTCCGACAGAGTCTGACGTCTCTGCTCCAATAGCAGCTCCCCGTCTTCAGAGATGTAGTCCGCCAAGTTCGGAAGGCCTCTGACCACGCAGGCCGACAGCGCTGCTCTGCGTGTATTCAAGTCTGCAACTTTGTACCTGTAATTTGTTTAAAATTAAAGAGAGAACGCGACCAAGCACACATCATCTATTTTACGTCGTAAATGTTCCACATGTAAATCGAGTACTCGATAAGGAACGAAAAATGATATTTTAATCTTTTAATTATCTTATATTGTGATTGACGGCCAATTTTAATATATTAATGATGGAGGCAGCAATGACTTCTGAAACGTCGGTAACCTTCTACCAGACTGCACGGCGCCACAACCCCAGAAGACAGCAAGAGATCTTCATACTCACCGCCGTAAGAACCTGACATCTCACCACATTGAACAAATTAAAACATATAAACAGCCATGTAAAAAAAAATACAGTTTTCTACAACAAAAAAGTATATGAAATTTTACAAATTAAATAACGTCTGCTATGTCCTGAAGCCCTATTATATCCAAATTTCACGCATTAGCAACTAAATCAGTGGACAAACAAACCTGAAGTACGAACTGCACGTCGCGAGGATGATCCTGTTAACGCGAAACACGCCGCCGTCTCCCAGCTTCAACATCGCGTCACATAGGAAGTCTCTTGAGTAACTCTGAGAGTGTACGTGTCATCTTGCTGACAACATCTGCATTTCTGTTTTACCTCCATCTCCTGAAAAATAGTCCTCCGTTGCAACAGGATTTTCTTCAAACTGACATGCTTGCATGTCAACCGAGAGTGTCTGAGGAAAAATATTCTGTCCTGCCAGACATTGAGTAAAATTTCATAATATGGAATTCTATAACTGGTATTATTTTCTAAACAATAATTATTAATTATTATTGAGATGGGTGAACCAAGTAGTACGCGTGAAGAGACAAGAAATTTAACAATTCTATCGGAAAACCTAAACGAAGATACAATTTGTTGGTGGGATGATAATAAAATCGACTTTTTCAAAAAGGTCTTTTATGCATTGTTCGGGGCGTTGTCGTCGTCGAAGTCTTCGTGTTTCTGTCCCTCTCGTTCTTGGTCGTCTTGTTGGTTTTCTTCCCCGTCCAGAGCAGCAAACGTTTCCGACAGAGTCTGACGTCTCTGCTCCAATAGCAGCTCCCCGTCTTCAGAGATGTAGTCCGCCAAGTTCGGAAGGCCTCTGACCACGCAGGCCGACAGCGCTGCTCTGCGTGTATTCAAGTCTGCAACTTTGTACCTGTAATTTGTTTAAAATTAAAGAGAGAACGCGACCAAGCACACATCATCTATTTTACGTCGTAAATGTTCCACATGTAAATCGAGTACTCGATAAGGAACGAAAAATGATATTTTAATTATCTTATTTTAAATACATTGTGATTTGACGTAATAACCAAATAATTTAATTTTAACCAATGAGAAGTTAAATTCTAAAAGTTTGTGACGATGATGCGTTGTTGAAGCGTACTACTCTCTGGACATAATCCACCGTCCCGGAATTAATAAAACGCGACGTTTCGGACATTGTAATCTGTCTCCGTATTCAGGTAGAAACCTACTCTGTTTGGGCCCCAATCGAGGGAGATAGTTCCGGTCTCCGGACGGAGATCACGCGGCAACAGATGCAGCTTCCGATGTCGAATCCTCAGCATTCACATCTTGAAACGTCGGTTGTGGACCAATCAAGTCTCTAAGCTCTGTTCTCCCAAAGCTGCACACTGGCTCTTATCCGCTTCGTATTATCAATGACAAATGGATCTGTCGAACCATATTCTGGGTCATAGCCCAAAACAGAGAGCATGGGTGCAATCTCAGTCATGTCCCTCACCACATCATCTGGTATGTTTCCAATCCATTTGGCCACCGCTTTCAAGTTTACTGACTTCATCACTTGGTCTGATGACCGCTCCACTTTCGATAATGAAACACCACCTGGCTTGTTGATTAATTCATCGTGACGGATAACAGATTCATCCCAAGAGATGTCAAGGAAGCTGAGAATACGCCTTATCCTTTCACCAGGATTCAGCACCAGCTGCTCATAGTGCACCGTTAAACACCTTGAGGGTCCCACATCGAGACACTGATTATACATAGTGTGAATCACAGAGTTCCACTTTGTCAGACACTGGCGATAGCTTGTCAGATCGAACCCCGTGACGGTCACCTTCCTGGATATGATCGAATGTGCAATGGCACGACCATCACGTATCATCAAAATAAACTTGGCTTGTGGAAACAGCTCAGACAGGTACGACGCAGACATAAGTATTAATGGATCCTCGTTACACAGCCTTGGCGCTGGGTCACCATGTCTTGCGATGACCTCCAGACAAAACGCCGCTATGGCAGAGTCCAGTACGTCTTTTGACAAACCCGCCTCTTCTAATCTAAAGCTCTCCTTTTGGGATCTAAGCCACTGAGACCTCATCTGGAGAATTCGAGGTATGACCTCTGTCTCCTGACCACACCTGACTTCAGGGTGGGCGTCGAGTATCTCTCGCATTAGATTTGTACCAGAGCGGGGCACTCCACCGATGAAGACGAGGGGCATGTGCCGATCATATTTATAAATCTTCCTGCTCTGTCCTAAGACGTACGTATTTCTTGGAATGATGGTTCTGTGTTCGTCCCGGGCGGCATAAGACACCAGCAGACACCAGAGAAACAACGCTGTAAGCAGTGTGACAGCCAGGTAGACCGCCGGTCTGTGCCCCAATCCTCCCATTCTAGCACTACCCAACGGCGAGCCAAGTTTTCTGCGAGACAGAGAAGACCAGAGTTACTTCACTGGAGTACGAATTGCACTGGTATATTCCGCACGAGCCCTTATAATTAAAACAGCTTCATACGCTTTGATCCTGCCTGCATCGACCGTTCTATCAGTAATTCTAAAGATTAATCAAGCTTTCCCACATCCATGCCAAAACCACATTACAATTCAACTCCGGAGACAGGGACTAGCTCTGTTGATTGGGCCAAACACAGTAAGTTTGCTTCAAAACTAATAATAATAATAATTAGGAATCCCTTACCTTAAACTTCTTCTACAAACAATTCACAGCAGAGCTCTTTCCGTAATAACGAAAGCGGATTGTTGACGGCAACAATGAAACACAACAATGCCGAGTAAACAGATGACGTAACAATTAGTTTCTTAGGTAAATGAGTAAAGCATTGTTATCTTCGTAACTAACGCTGTTTTGGCCGAATGACCCTTACGTATAGACGTATTTACGTCAATAAAATCCCTTACCGATAGTCAAGTTTCATAATAGTAAGTGGGATAGTATTTGAACAGAATTTAACGAATATTAAATTTGGCTTAAATAGCAGAATATGTCTATCTGTTGTTCAAAGTTTATTGTTGGCATGGTTCCATAATGTATTTGGACAAAGGCGAAGAAGGAAAACTGAAAATATGAGCCATTTTGGAAAACGTGGATGGGGCAAAATGAAAGCTTTCCACATTTTAATAAGAACTCCAGAATCACAGTGCCACGAAATCACCTCCACTGCTATGCGCGCGCACACAACACACTTCTAGCTCCTCGGAGATTAGTGGATTGCACTGCCCTCTGGTCGCCCGGCGCACGTACTTCGTCGTAATATACATTGCCACTAGGTGCGCTGCCGTAACACGCGTGCGCAATGGCGCGAATTTCATTCAATTTTGAGCAATATTTTTCGCAACCATACACAGTGTGTTGGCAGCTGAAATTTTGTGTACGATCATTACTAAACGGTCTAGCTCCTCGGAGATTAGTGGATTGCACTGCCCTCTGGTCGCCCGGCGCACGTACTTCGTCGTAATATACATTGCCACTAGGTGCGCTGCCGTAACACGCGTGCGCAATGGCGCGAATTTCATTCAATTTTGAGCAATATTTTTCGCAACCATACACAGTGTGTTGGCAGCTGAAATTTTGTGTACGATCATTACTAAACGGACTCTGCAAACGAGCAAAATTTTAGGTTAGGTTCCAACATGACCAACTGGAACATTCCCTTGCAAGGGGTGATTGTGTAATGTAGGTTATGTGTAGTGTACATAAGTACTTTGCTTATCAGTTTGAAACTTCAGTAGCATTACTGAAATCTCACACATCAACCTGTACCAATATACGTGAACATTTTATAGTGAACTTTTTTAGCAGTGCAATTTATTTAGTGCCTTTGGATGGAACATATTGATCCTGTGTAGAAATACAAGAGTGATGGAAAATTTAAGATAAGTAAGTATGTGTGTGTTGTTATTTGTAGATTTGAAAGTAATGGGTCTTATGGTAGCCTATTTGTGCATGGAGATATGAAAATATGCCACTCCATTCTTTTTATGAATGTTGGTTAGCATGATGAAAATTTACATTTCATTTTCATAGCCTGTTGTAACCACTGACTTCCAGTTCTGAAAATGGTCTCTGCAGATTAAAACTCAGGTTCTAGACGTTCAGAACTAACATTTTATGTAGCAAACACGGAACAATTAGTACCAATACAATCACAAATAAATTTCAACATACCAACAGTGAGGAAAAACTTTTATTTACATCACTAGAAATAATTGGAACAGTTGCAGTGAAAAGAGTTTATTAAATTTCTGTTTTAGAACTGTTCGTTTCACAGACTTTTCAGTATTTCTTACAGCATTTTTATTTCATGTATTATTTTCTTTCAAAATAGTCATTGGCCTTGTATTCAGTAACACGATAGAATTGTGTCTGAACATATTCATTATTTCCCTTATCATATTATTTTAGATTGATTATATTGATTTTTACCAAAATCAATACAGATAGATAGAGACTGACTGTTTTAAGAATTTTATGTGGTTTGGATATGTCTTTGGTAACTATGTACATGTGTAATTTTAAGATCTTTTTACACTAATATAATTCATTATTAATAGCCAATTTAATTAATGTTGTGTGCCATATTTTACAAATTAAAGAACTTATACACATGATGTGTAGGAAAATAGCAACATGTTCAAGAAACTTATATCAGGTACACACGTCTCACTGTAACTAGAACCATTTCAAATCTCAGGTAAGGGCAGAATAGCATCGGAGATGAGTACTGCTGTCTAACCTCCTCCTCTTCCTCCTCCTTCTTTTTTCCTTCTTCTCCTTCTCCTCCTCCTTCTTCTTCTCCTTCTCCTCCTCTCCTCCTTCTCCTCCTTCTCCTCCTCCTCCTCCTCCTCCTTCTCCTTCTTCTTATTCTTCTTCTTCTCCTCCTCCTCCTTCTTCTTCTCCTTCTTCTTCTTCTTCTTCTCCTCCTTCTCCTCCTCCTCCTCCTCCTTCTTCTCCTTTTTCTTCTCCTCCTCCTTCTTCTTCTTCTCCTTCTTCTCCTTCTGTCCGTATTCGGTCGTTAGTGACCTCTCACCACATTAATTTATTTCATTGTGATGGTGATACGGAATTATATGGGATGTTCAATTTACAGAACGTATTTGGAGCTACGCGCAAGTGGTAAATGTTTTTAGCTCAGGTCGTAGTCATGCAACGTCACACAGCGGCACACCGTTGCTGTGATGTCATCAATGCTGCTAGTTACAGTGAGACCAGTGCCCTTTTAGGAAAAGTAGTTTGAGGTTATGTCACGTAATTTTAAGGTACGTGTAATAATAAACTTTTATTTAAAGACAGTTCTTGTTCTGTGTTCTGGTGTGTACTATCAGAAGCAAAGCACTGGGTAATTCTGATTAAGCTCATTAAACAGAAAGCAGACTTCCATTAAAATAAAACACCTGAAACAATTTAATAATTTTTCTTCATATACGTATCTCAGCTATGGCCCATATTAATTCTGTGGTGTGAGGCGTAGACATGGTGATTACTTAACTTTTATAACAGAAAGGATGTATATTTACATTCAGCCACTGGAGTATCGAATAATGAAAGAAAGTATTTATGTCTGTCTTGCAGATCTCGTTATAAATTTTCATAGCAGACTCCAGGCTTTTGATCTGAGGCATTTGAATATAATTTCTCTGCATTTTTGCAATGTTAGAAGTTTATAGAGATCATTAATTTCCTTCATAGATAGAAAAAGAGGGGGAAATTAGAAATGCAGAGATCTTAAGGATTGTACAGTCTTAATTTAAAACGATAGCATAGTAATTTATCTCCTGATTTCTTAAATTTATCTTACGACTTCTACACCAAATCATTAAATTATTATTTCTGTCTGGAATTTGCTGAATTACATATAATAATATGATATTTAGAAGTGTGGAATTTTTATGTCAGGCTGTAAATATTACAAAGATGTAGTTCTGATTATACAAAAAGGAAACATATTTAAGAAAAAGTATTTTGTTACGTACATGGTAAAAATATATAAGGAAATATACTCCCCTGTTTGTTGTACCGCGTTTTGTCACTCATGAACAGTAAGTAACACGACCTCATGCTTTTGTTAATTCTTACAGTTGTGTGTTTTATAAACATTGATTGATCCTTTAAGTCGGATTTTATTTTGCTTACGATGCTCTAGGACAGATTTCAAAATTAATATTCTCAAAGTTGGTCCACCCGCAAGTACACTTAGGGATGAAACGAGGGTTATTTCAAGAATTGAAATCTTTACACTTCAGAACTAATGAAGAGTGGATATGTTTTCGAGTATAAACTGAATGAGACAGTTGATACTGGCTGCATTGATCTACCTACTTTCAGAATATATTATTTTTGGATTAATTTGGATACACTATAGAATATATTTATTTATACGTATTTGTTTCTTAGTGTAGACATTAAGTTGCCTTAGATGATTTCCCCATGGAGCTGCTGATATTCTTTCCGACAGTCTCGTTCTGTCTGCCCTTGGATGTTGTTGATTGGTGACTGTCTGATCCCTGGCCCTTATCAGATGCAGACTTCTGCTCAGAGGCCTACGGACAGTTACAAAAAAACTATTGATGCATAAACTTTTTCACAAACAGGTTAATTTCTTAGTAGGATTTGAGGTTTTCACGTCCGTGAGTCTGAAGATGACTGTCTTATGGGTTGTTGCGCCGTGCGTTTAAGAGGTCCCTGCTGCCTTCATCATCGGGGCCTGATGACTGCTTTTAGGTTTAATAACTCGGTTGAAAACACCAAAGAAACACGAACTTTATTACTTTTCAACACACACAAAAAGACTCATTCCCGTCAACTTTGACGGGTCATACACTGTCAGGAACTATAAGAAAGACATAAGATGATAAAGTTGCGTCATATTGTGATAAATATATATTTAAATATATTTATTTTTTGTACAGTCTATACACAAACGTTTGAAGTTTATTGGTGTTGTAACAAATTATATAATATTAAAACATTTTGTTGTGTAAAATATTATATTAGCGCTCTTAATCGTACATACGATTTTACATTATATATTTTTAGCGCTTTTATTAAAACGACATGTTTCGACGGGTAATACCGTCGTCTTCAGGTTTTTATCAATTTAAAATATTTTAAAAACTATTAGATATTTGATGCAATATATTATAATGATCCGTAGATACAAATTGAATGTGGTTTTGTTAAGTCTGATTTTAATATTTGATGGTTATTGGCTCACACGCAATGTAATGTACGAAAAGAATGAATATTTCATAAAACATATTCGGCATAAATTTTGTTTGTTAATATTTTTTGATTACTTGATATTTATTGATTTATAACAGCGTTTATGAATTAATTGTATATTTTAGGAAGGATTTGGTTATACCAAATGTCATAAAACTTATTTATAAGTGATGGGTTGTGTCCTTTAAAAATATCTGTCCTAAATAATTGACAATCTGACCTTCACGTCACAGTCCCTGTTCTCATGAACGACGTGTTGGAAACTGAGTCATGTTAGCATAAAACTTGTAGTTGAGAAAATTCCAGTGATTGAATTTAGAAGTCCCAAATCTTGGCAGTGAAATTGTAAAATCTGTTACGGAGGCAATCTCGCTACAACAATTGAGATTAATTTATACTAAGATTTTATAATTTTCTGTTTTATTTATCTAACATCACAATCACTGCATGTAGATGAGTTAACTTTAACCTGTCATCGATTCAATCCAAACATGTCAGACATATTGATTCAGGGCATTAGTCTGAGGAATGTGTCGCTAGCTGACATGCGTTTTATAAGTTATGGAGCAATGAGTAAGACTTGATGCTTACGGTTATGTGCGTGTTTTGCAAATACAGTTTTCATAAGATAGTGTAGTTGCGTCATATTGTGATTTATTAAATTAAAATTAAATTATTTAGTTATTCCGTCAAATCACAATGTATTTAAAATAAGATAATTAAAATAATTAAAATATCATTTTGTGTTCCATATCGAATAATCGATTGTAATTATTTTAATTATCTTATTTTAAATACATTGTGATTTGACGGAATAACTAAATAATTTAATTTTAATTTAATAAATCACAATATTTACAATTTTTCGTAGTGTAGTTTTTTGGAGGTCGTGTCCAGATATTTTCATATAATGGATCAAATTTATTGTTTGAAGTGATGCTTTGATGTTTACATCGGTCAGAGATGAAATAGTAGACAACACAGTTGTCTGGAGGTGATCCAGAAGTATTACCGTATCCGATCAAGGTTTATTACTGAATCTTAATTATCTTATTTTAAATACATTGTGATTTGACGGAATAACAAAATAATTTAATTTAAATACAGTTTTTTGACTGAGTCCACACTTACAGGGTCTCCGGCATTGGTTGCTGGGTTCATAATCAGCAACTGCTGTAGCAGCTGGTTGCCAGATCCCTCAAGGAGGCCTTCCCTAGCGACGCTCAACAGCTGTGGATGCTCTGCAAGTGTGTCGCTCAACGACGCAATAAGCACATCTGAAAGGTCGCAAGTCAGGTAACAACAAATTATTCTGGACTCAGGACTGGCGGTGTCTGTCCACTGTCATGACATGGCGATTGAAACTGTTAAAATATTAGGTGATTAGCCGCATGAATTCAAATCAAAAGTTCAAACATTTCAGAGAATTTATGTCTTGCATTTGAGAGAGTGAGGGTATCTGAAACTTTGGAATTTGCTGATTCATCGCCAACCAATGCTAACCCTTTACGTTCTTTAAGTTCGTAATCATCACACCGACACACTTTGAGAACAGGAAAACATCACCTGATCAAAGTCAAAATCGGTCACTTATCTCCGTGTGCTGCCGAGGTGAATAAAACCATGAAGAACGTACCAAGGACTTTCTTCTCGAGGCTCCGTGAGATGTGACCTTGTTCTGCCTCAGCCTCCAAGAAACTGGTGAACTTCTGCAAGGCTTCCTGTGCCTCAGCACTTCCTGCAAGACAGAGATCATCAAGCATTGGGAAGAGGAGAGAGAGAGATAATAGAACAAATGAAAGAGATAAAAATATGAACCAAGAGAGAAAAAGAAGAAAATTATGACATGGAAATAGAAGGATAAAACTGCGAATAAAAAATACACGTGAAGGAACAGAGAAGAGTAACTTAAAAAGTATAAAATAGTATAATTGTGTCATATTGTGAATCAAATATTAAATTAATTATTCGGTTTTGTCCGTCTAATCACATTTATATTTAAAATTTAAAAAAAATGTTCCAAATGTAAATCGATTATTCGATGTGGAACATAAAATGATAATTTAATTATCTTATTTGTAAATTTTAAATTTTAAATATAATTGTGATTAGACGGACAAAACCGAATAATTAATTTAAGAAGTATAAGTTAAAGTTCGTATCCACCTACAACTCCAAACGACGTTACTACCCAGAAGTCCAACATCGACAAGCAATTCATAGCATTGTTCAGAGTTATAGAAGTTATCACCGTTTCGGAGGAGTTTATTGCTATCATCTTCAGTATGGAAGACCTCAGTTCGCATTTTCGCCGCCATGAAAATCTCAAGTCTCATGAATGAAGTACCTAATTCTCTCTCAGCCTTCTTGGGTGTGGTGGCAACGACTTTCAGGTTCAAATAAATAAGCACCAGTCATAAAATGAGGCTCTTATCGTTAATTTTGTCTTAAATTAACCGATAAACACACGAAATATACAAGTTAGAGAATTTTAATATTAGAGCAAACTGTCTCGCATTTCTGCGAGTTAGTTTTCTAAGTTCTTAAACGGTGTTGCTCTCTGAATGTTTAAGCGCGGATTTAAAACTACCCTCGCCATTAGGCTGTCTACTATGCAGTAAACTCCTGATTTCTTGGGTTGGTTGAGAAATATATTTTTCCCCCGGATAATCGAAACCGCGGATAATCCACAACAATGAAAGAAAAAAACGATAAAACATTATAAACACACAAGTTTATTTACAGACGCACTTCTAAAATGTTGTAAAGAATTATGGGCAACACAAAGGATATTGTATCAAACTTAATGGATTATGTTCCAACAAAGAATATATCAGCGAATAGTGACAATGTTAAATTGTTGTAAACTTCATTTTTTAAAAACAATTTATTTGTATTAATACGTTAAATTACGCCATTGTCGCGTTTATATATTTTTAAACGTTCTTAACTTCTACAAGAGATTTTCTAAATAAGTTTTTAATTTCTGTTTAAACCACTGATACTCCGGCTAATCCGCCCCTGGACAATCTAGAGTCTACCGGACTTAAAATTACGGTCGTCAAAGGAAGTGCCAGGGTGTCGTACCGGTACCCAAAAAACGCACCGGTACACCGCCCTGGCCGAATGCGGTGCTGACCTCTGTTCAGGGACTGTGAGAACATGACCTTGGCGAGCTGATAGATGACCTCCTCCAGGGAGTACTCCGTGTACAGGTAGTCCGCGACCCTCAGTCTCTCTAGCACCTCGTCATAGTCCTCGTCTAGAACCTGCTGAGCTCTGTCGGCAACTGCAACAAACACACATCTTCTGTCATTAGAAGTTCAATGGCGCCCTCCATTCCGCTCCACCAATCAGCATCGTCATATCCCACTCGACACCTACACTCTACCCTGTACATGACTTCCAAACAGACCCAACCACCTTTCACCCTGAAGATGGCAGTTGTAATGTTTGTCGAAACGTCTGATAATTCTCAACTCCAAAAACTGTTACAGAACCACATCGCAGTGTGCTCTCATCAGTTCAGTAGCAGCCTAGCTCAGCGGCAATACGCCTGGCTTCAGTCAGAATTCAATACACGTACTTAATAGACTAAAGCGTCCTCCACAAACAGGAAGGAAATTAAAAAGTCTCTAAGTTCTGTCTGACATAATTTAAATTTATAGACGGGCGTTTCCCGTAGGTTGTCTTATATTTTATTGTCTCTATTCTGCGCCGTCTGTTTGACGTCACTGTCTTTTGATGGCGTGGCGACGCGGATCCCGGACACTAACAAGCTCAGAATTTGTATTTTGTCCTTGAATATACATAATATCCTCATGCGTTCTTTTGAGCGTGCATTTAGAGGGATTAAATTCTCCTCTGTCGATAGTTACCACTTTTGCATCCAGATCGCAGCACCTCAGTGTCCACCTCACGAGTTTCCCCATTCATCATTTTATTTCCACTGCTCGTAGGATATTCAAAATACGTTTTTGGGATCGTGCAGAATGGCATAACCACTACATCAAATTTCATCTAAATCCGTCAAGAGGTTCTCGAGTTGAATCGACTGGACAGACCAGCGTTCTCGCTGTGCATTTCGCTCGCAGAGGTTTCCCGCCCTGAACTACCCTGGCCTGACTACAGCTTTGGTCGTGGCCTTCAGGTGGTACTGAGGCATACCACGAGATACGTCAGTCTCCGAAGCAGGATCCGCCTTTAGCTGGAGGCAACGCGTCTGATTTTATATCTGACGAAAGTTTCTTGGTCGACGGCGAACACATAAACAGGCGTATTTGGAATCGCAGAGACAGAAGAAGGCCGTGAAACGAAACATTATTTTTGTGCGACGCCATGCCCCTGTCACGTTCACCCTCCGTGTTGCCGCTTGTTCAGCACTGCTAATGAAGAGACAGTTAAATGAGTCCCTGTGACGTATTATGGATGTGAAGTCACGTGATTCACTACTAACAGTTCGAAAAACGTCCAGTTTGTTTTGATTTGATGTAAACATAACTGGTAATATTTTAAAACACCAGACTTTATAAAACAATCACTAATGATAAAATAAACAAAAATTTTTTTTACTAAAATACGGACAGACATTGATCACATTAGCGACTATCAGCTTCTTAAGAAAGCCACCAATCCAGAAAGTTGGTTTTTAGTTAATTCGTTGTAATGGTATGCTCGTATTTATAAAGTATTTTCAATAATTGTAGATTTACTATTGGTATTCAGCTATTTTTGAAACACAGAATTCTTCTCGTGAAGCCTTCAGGCCCACTGTCATTGCCTACCCTTGCCCCAGGCTTTGCATTCGCTTAATCCCCTTTCACACTTCGAGTTTCCGTTATTCGCTTGTTACACCATCAGGGATAATCTCCCAAACCGGAAGACACCCTCAGAATAATAATTAATATTTCTGATGTCTATACGATTTACCTTTCGCGTTGTTTTCCTCAGGAGCTGAAGTCTTCTTAGCTAGCGCTAATAGATCTGTAGCGGAAGAAATGTCTTCTATTGAGTTTATCTTCGTCTCGTTAGGTCTACCTTTGTCTAGACCCAAAGCCTTCTGAATCCTGTATGCTCGTTCCTGGAAAGAGACACGTAACATCGCATTATGAAAGACTGACCAACAGATATCTCATTTTATCTGGATATTTTTCTTTTACAAACTCGAGGTTAATAGAGAATTTGACGCAAGCTCCCTTAGGGTTGCAACTGCGTAGAACCTAAATTGAGCAGGACTCAATTTAGAATGTCTTGTACCTAACACGAACAATACTTCTGAACGTTTGTGTTATTTAATAGCTTGTTCATGAGCATGGCTCGGTGGTTGGCAATCCTGCTTTGTATTCGTGAGTTTCTGGCCCTGAATTTTGGCCCGCAGACGGAATGTTATGATTTTCCATGGTTTTTCTCAGGCTCACAGTTACATACTGCTATCGTTACTTAAACTAATTTGGACCTCTTCGTAATTCAGCACTGTAATTCACTTAAAAGTGTCGTTAAATACCGTGAAGAGAAACGGAATTTGTGTCGGGTAATTGTCTTATCGAAGAGTTTAAAGTGTCAATGACAGTAAAATAGGGCTTACACTGCATCGAAATGAAAATTAAATTCTAAATTTGATTTCAGTTCGTCACTACCGAATAATAACGAATAAAACTTACCTTCCCATCGTGCGCTCATATATCTTTTGGTCCTTGTCTATCGCCTAAATATAAAATTACAATTTTCGTAGGGTGGATTCTACTGTCATGATCAGGTAAAATTAAATTATATGGTTATTCCGTCAAATCACAATGTATTTAAAATAAGATAATTAAGATTCAGTAATAAACCTTGATCGGATACGGTAATACTTCTGGATCACCTCCAGACACAACTGTGTTGTCTACTATTTCATCTCTGACCGATGTAAACCTCAAAAGCATCACTTCAAAGAATAAAGTTGATCCATTATATGAAAATATCTGGACACGACCTCCAAAAAACTACACTACGAAAAATTGTGAATAATTGTAATTGAGTTTTAAATTTAATATAATTTTACACCTGATGATGGTTTAATAAAACCGAAACATGTTGTAACTGTTCCAATTGTAAATCGATTATTCGATATGGAACACAGAATGATATTTTAATTATTTTAATTATCTTATTTTAAATACATTGTGATTTGACGGAATAACCAAATAATTTAATTTTAATTTAATAAATAACAATATGACGCAACTACACTATATTATGATCAGGTAAGTAAAGGAGGACAAAATAAACCTATCTGTTGGACGTTTCGGTTTTAGCTAGACTCAGCTCCCCACATCACCAATATTAAAAATGCCAGGTATTATAAAGTTTTGCTTGCGATAATCATCTCCAGCAGATAACTCGTTATTGTTATGTTGGACCCCAGACCCATCTATCGGAAATAACACTCACTTTTCCAAACATAACCAAAATTCCGAAACGTAATTTTATAACGATTGACAACGTCGAAGAACGGCCACTAGCAAACATTCCACTCCTTTAACACGATTAATCTCGTATCACGTGTACAAATGCAGAGTGTAATTGTTGTTTGCTCTGGAACGTGTGACGCGTGGGATTTAACACGATTAAACTTGTTTCCTGGGCTCATGGTCCACTCTCAGTCCCCATTCTTGAAACTGCGTGTGCTCTGAACTTTCATTGTTATGGGCGTACAGTCAGCCTGGGCACATTGCGCCAGGCATTTGTCCCTCGCAGCCAAGGTCTAGGGGCCGAGCCGGCAAAAGTGGATCAATCCCCATTTATGCACTTCGTAAAATTATGACACGGTTAACTAGCCAGTTGTGAAATCGTTTACTACAGAAATTTTCTTGTGGGTGGACAGACCAGCCTTTCGACTCCGATGTGTGATCATAGGTACCTATAAATTATTCCAAATTACGTGTATACCAGTTCATCGCTGTTCCAAGAATGGGCACGAACTGCGCTTCGAATTAAATTAATAATCAACAAACATTCCTCGAAAATGTGGCAAAGTTGTAAGTATTTGGAAAGTACATTAATGAACCAAATTACGTTGACGAAATTTAAAAGTGGACTGAATTTGGCTAATGCTTCCCGTCTGCTGCAATGAACATGGTGAATGAAATATGTAAAAACCACAACTGCGACTCTCGAGAAGAATATTTGGACCTGAAACCGAAGAAGAAACCATCACAATGAGCTTCCACCGAATCCTGCGTCTTAAGAATTTTGTGGCCGGGTAATCAACTCTGTAGTGTAGCAACCCGGTGTGTGTGTGAAGTCGGTTGGTTGTCTTTCATATTCGTCACTTTTCGCACTCGGTTCACTGCCCATTCTTTAAAAAAATGTTCCGTGGACCGAAACATATTCTAAAGAATGTGTGTTGTGACTGACGAACAAGAAACACCAAGGACGGAGTAAATAGTTCCATAAATGGCAAACATCTAACAGAAATTTAGACTTGTAAAATAATGCATTTAATTAAAATAAAAACAGCTTTTCACCACCTGAGCTTATATGACAGTACGCATTTAATTAGACTGCTCATTATTTTGTTCTTTTAGCATGTCTGCCATGTGACAATACCCTATACAGAAATTAACTCACTAGTTCTACAGGGGCAATGTGGGATGCACCGTTTAAGTGGAGATGGAAATTTGAATTGTGGTCTTCTAGGATATGAAGCCGTTTAAGTAGACTTCTACCTAGCAAATGAAGGAGACAGACTCCTCCGTAGCACTGGTAAACACGCACATGACGCTATAATCCATGTAACGAGAGGAACGGTCAGTTTCAGAATGAAAATGGGTGACGAAGATGTTTCCGCTGAAATGACCGCGGTAATCGTATGCCAAATGTTCGCAGTACAAAAATTACTATTGTAGGCACATGGAATCAACCAAGCTTATAGGGAGAAAACCTAAGCAGCAAGAAAACATCAGACACCTGTTACGGCATTAATGCTGCCGTCCACGGGGCGATGAACACGTTGATCGCGTGGTATGAAAATTAATTTTAAAGTCGTGGATTTCATAAATTGGAATTTTTTTTTTACAGTGAAATAAATAGTGCTCACCAAAGTGTGAACTGAAGTTAGAAAAGCACGGCGTTCTTAGACTGATCAAACAATAGGATTCAGGGGTTTCGAATCCCGCTCAAGACACGGATTTGTATCATTCAATGGCGTGTGTTCTTGTGTAGGTGAGGGACCTTGCCAGGCTGATGGCCTGTCTTAGGAGACTATCAAAATTACTAAATGATTCACACTTTGAGAATTATTCTGTGTCGGAACAGAACGGACGGCCTGTACAAGCTGAAAAAGCGTATAAATAAATAAATAAATAAAATTAACAAATAAATATATATTTCCTTACCGTTCTTGCATCGCAGGATAAAAGTTATTTCAAAGTAATTCAGAGGCATTACATTTGTAAATGGAATTAAAAGCTTAAAAGTTGAATGGACTTAGTGACACAATGAATTTGTTTTAATTAATCGGATTACGTAATTGAATGGATTATCCATCGAAGAATTCGTTAACTTTTTAATGAAATAATTTGTTTCAGACCGTATCATAATATTGATGTAGCCCACACTATGAATATAACCCAATATTGCTGGCGAAAATGGACGTAATAACAGTGGATGGTGCAAAACTGACAAATTAACTGTTATTTTGTGTTTGGGTACAACTGCCGTGGCGGCGTGGCTTGGTCTTAATCTCGGGAGCTGGCCCGTCTTCATATCCACAGGACAGATACCTTCAGCGGCTCATGAGGAATATGATTTTAAATTTAAATTTCAAAATGCTCTCCTTCCAGGTTTAAACATAAACACTTCCTCATATAAAATGTGTAGGTGCGTGATATCGGGCTTAAGACGTTTAATAAGTATGAAGCGAATCGGTATTGTCACATTCCTAGCGGTCACTGTACTCCGGTATTCGCAGTGGAAAGGCTTACATATAAAAACAATAGACCTCTGTTATGTTGTCTCGCATTGTGGTCATGTGCAAGCGATAGCTGTGTCACTTACAAGGGGGTTGCGTTACTGCGAATAGACGCGTTAAAACGGGAAACGTATATAACAATCGCCATTTTTTTTAAACTGACGTCATAATTCTCAGATGCTGAGAAGCCTCGTTAAGGTTCGGCGCAGGTAAGAGGTTTCCAAATTTAATCGCGTATAGGAAATAGATGCTGATAATGAAATAAAACCACGGATATGAGAAAAAGCGTATAACGATTCACCTGTATACCTTTCTAACTACACGGAATATGTAATCCTTCACCAAAGGCTAGTAGTCGCTAAGCTGGCCAGGGAATTCTCTGTCTTTCATGCTACCCCAACGTTCATGAAAGTGTTTGATCACTTCAGGCCGTCACTCAAGCACATCACGAGAGATTTCATGTTCTCTCGGCGAGCGACGTGAATGAAGACATCTTCTGGGGTGTTGCACCGTGTAGTCAGGTAGAAATTTACCGACGTTTCAGACGTCCTTGTTGCCTCCATCATCAGGGCGAGGAGTTTGGTCGCCCTGAAGAAGAAGGCAGCAAGCACTAAGACTCAGAATCATAAACATTAAATGCACAGTTAAATCAGTTGGTGGTACACGCTGTTTGTACTTGGCGTTTGGCGCTAAATAACGCCTGCAGTAGATTCAGTGTTGTTTCGTAATAATACAATGGAAGTAGTCGATTCTGAATGGGGGGGGGGGGGCTTAAACCCTGAAACCTTCCATGCCCGCGCTATTACTGGCTGGCTTCTGTAGCAACAGTACAGAGGGCGAGTGACGTGGATGTGCAATTATTATCGCTTCATCTCACGTCGCCCGATGCGATATTGTTTTATCGTGTCGATACTAGCGACCTTCCTCTTCGCTCGGCAGGTCCGATAAAAAGTCGATTGATCACAACTTGTCTCCCATCGCAAGTCAGACAGACGCATCTGCAATTTTTTTTAAGGCTAATTTGACGCAAATCTATCGTCTTTTACTGAGCGGTTGAAACAAGGGTTAGCAACCTGCGGCCGGCGTGTGGCACGTGGTCCTCGCAACTTTTTTCGCTTTATTTCAATTAGCCAGTCGCAGAAAGGCAAATCACTTCTTGCTTCTAAGTAGAGCATGTAAATTGTCTGATAATAAGGGCAAACAATCCCAACAAAATATTTTAACGTTAAAATTGCGATTTTTGCACATCGTTCCGTTGTTGAAACATGGCGTTTCACAAAACAGCATGAACAATGATTTGAAATTTTAACTGTTTGACGTCTAACAAGCAGATTCTTTGAAATAAACTGAGTTGTGTTGTTTTATATTTCTTAAACTAAAGAAATACAATTTCTCTCACTGCCCACGGCGAGGAAATCAACGTTCTGAGAACCATCTGCTTTCGTCCTCAGGGTACATGAAACGGGCTTGATCTCCAGCCACATCAGTACCCTGAGGTCAAGGACAGATGGTAATTGTTTCTCCTTTTAATCACTTGACAAGGCTGGAAGCCCCAGAGAACTTCGTTTTATCAAGTCGTCGTGAAAGTTCCAGATCATGTACGATATTATTTAATCCTTTGTACAATGAAGCTTGAAGCTCGTCTAAATATTGCAGTTCCCAAAATTCAGTACGTACCTCAAAGAAAACACAACACTCGTCCATTGCGAAGATGAAGTGGTTAGTACCGTTTAGGAAAATAATCGCTGTATATTATGAGAATCATACGAAATCCATTAACGCATTCTGTGGGCAAAATGCAGAATTAATGACTTCAAAGCGTTGAATTATTAGGTTAAATTTTTTGTGAGTACTGGGGAGCGATATAACTGTGTGTGTGTGTGTGTCACTGTTTTGAGTTTGATGTGGTTTTTGTCCTGAAATGCCATGGTTTTTGTTTTTGTGCGTGAAACTTTCATATTGAAACGATTTGCTCTATTTTAAAGTCCATTAGCTGCTTTGAGGAACGGCGTCTGATTCACTAAAAATAACCCGATGGTCTGTTTCAAAATCTTTAATTGAAGCATCTTCCCATTGTCTGACGACCTCGTCAGTGAATATATTAAATAATGTCGGGGACAAATGACATTCTTGATTTATATGTGTTCTTTTGTTTTCTGACCGATATTCCCTATCGAATTCATTGTCCTATATTCAGTGGCCTTAATAATATTCGGCTAAGAGTACAAAATATGATTTTCAACACTCTCGTCTCAAAACTCCTCTGTTCTCAAACACCTGCGGTGTAGGATTAGATAAGCTTACCAACGTCTTAGAGGTACTTGCTGCCTACATTATCAGGCAGGTGTGTCCTGTGGTGGAGGCAGCAGCAGTAAAGACCTCTGAAACGTCGGCAGACTTCTACCAGACTACACGGCGCTACAACCCAGAAGACAGCCATCTTTGAGGTTGAGGTTGTTCCACAAGCGTTGCACGTCGGACCTCGTTGTCACGTACATACGTGGTTTTACCTTGTCTCGCTGCTGCTGCTCTCTGCTAAGCTGTAATTGGCTGTAACGTTCTTGCAGGAACTGTAGATTATTCTTGATACCCTGTAGGAACGAGATGGCTTCCTCTCGCGTCATCTGCACACAAAAAGTTGAGGGTATCATTACTACGCCGTCGCGCAGAGTAAGGAAAGGTTAGGTTAGGTCAGGTTAGGTTAGGTTATGTTAGGTTAGTGAGGCACCTGCGCAGATGTTGTTGCGCAGTGTAGTCGTATGACGTGCGCATGTGAAGGCACCTTCAGCTCGATATTGTTAATTGTAAATTATTAAAAACTCAAAAATTCGATTCCGCCACTTTAAGAAGTATATTATATTCTGGGTTTCAATTTCATACCTAATTAAATTTTTTTACAAGGATATTTTATTAGACACATACTTTCAGTAATTGCAAGTACACCAATGACTTATCACTTAAATATGATGCTATTTAACATTTCATTGTGTAAGTAGGTTAGGTTAGGTTATGTTATGTTAGGTTAGGTTAGGTTTGTGTTTTGCAGATGAAACCCCGGGTTGAGAGAAAATTACTAAAGAGGCAACACAAGATATAATTCTGATCACAGCTGACAGTGACTGAAATAAAAGTTTGACTATAAATAGAATATTCAGTAGACCTTCGCCGTTCGCGGGATGACGTCTTTGAAAACGCAAGCGAGTTTTAAAACCGAGATGCGAGAAATTAAGACCTTATGAGAAAAATGGGGTTAGGGGAACCAAAGACACGCGGATCATGACAATTGAAAGGACTAACAAATGACTGATAAACATGAAGACGTTCACGTCGGTGTTTATTGGAGGACGTCGATTTTCCTGGTCGAAAGATGTGAGTGTCATCGAAAGCCGGACAGGCGGGCAGATTTGGGCTGTTAGCCACAAAACACGCGCGCACAATAAAACAACAAATTTGCCTTCCTAACTCGTGTGGACCTTTCCCTTATGTTCTGACGTCACCAAACAACAGTCGTGCGATGTAGCTATCAAAAAGCCACATATGAATTTCTTAAGAAATCGATGCCCGGACACCAGTAATTTCAAGCACGTATTTCTTACTGACGAATTTAAAATTTTTCTGGCTGGAGGGGGTTGTTTGAAATACGACACACTACCTGGTGTTTCATGTTAGGAGAACAGGAAATCCTTAAGAACTGTCGCTGGATCTGTCTGCACGTCAGGACAAGTGATACGTGCTCATGACAGGTCATCAATTCCAAATTAAAAACCATTCTGCTCTCTTATTACATTAAGAAAGTTATCAGACGCTGTCAGTACAAATTAAAAATAAATGTTTCGGATGTCGATTTAGATCAGTTTTTCTCTGATATGAAGACCACAAAAGAATGCATTTCCCTGGGACGTAGAATTGTTATTAATATTAGCATATTCATGTAGAAGTGGGGATCGAACCCTGGTGTCAACATGGACGGTCAGTGAACCCGGTTGCATGAGCCAGGAAGGAACATGATCCTTCAAATTGCCTGACGTGGGTGTGGCGGCCGAGATGTTCGCGTCACATCACGGGCTTTGACGTCAGCAAATAAATAAAGGGAACGCGGAAGATGAGAGCAGCAGACCCCCCATGGGCAAAGACCCGAAATGAGGGAAACCGAGGTTGGGAGGGCAAAGACCTGGAGGGGAAGAGTGTAACTGGAGAAAACCCTGGTGAGGGAGGGGATTCTGAAGAATGTTCGTGGCGCGAACCGATGGATTCACTTCGCCCCGTGAGGAAGACATTGAGGGATGGGGGTTGCGTGTTTAGTGACTGGTTCCGGGTTTCAACCCTTGTTACTTAGCAAATATAGTCACCGAAGTCAGTGAACTCGGCCACGTGACGTAAAAATTTGTGGTAGGGTGCGGATGATGGCATTAATTTTATATCAACTTTGAATTAAAAACATCATTTTCTACTTACAGTCTTAATATGTGATAATAAAGTACAATTGATCTAGAAGTGGATAACTTTCTGATATTTAATAGACATTCTGACGAAGGATTGCATTTAGAATATACATTAATATTTTAATATTTAATAAAATATTTTATTGTGATTAGACGGTTAAAATTAAACAATTATAATTCATCGCAATATGACGCAACATTATCATCTTACAGTCTTAAGTCGCCGTGTTTCGTGCGGGACATAAGTCCCTGCAAATGTTCATGTGTCCATAGTTGATAATTATCTTTGTTGAAAATGACATTAAGTTGGCTTCAGGTCTAATCTGATGTCAGGAGAATTTATATTAAGGTGTTGTCATGTACCAAAAATGATTATAATAAAATATCTGGGGGTTTTGACCAAGATCTCTTGTTCCGTGGCATGAGAAGCATTTTATAAGATGCGAATTACTTTTATTTTAGCATCGTTTTTATTAATAGCCGATGTAGAGCCTGGTGGAATTTATTTTTGGTTCTAAGACAAGATTTAAAAGTTAAGTAACATGCTTAAAGCTGTAAGGTAGAGCAATACGAGTAGAATAACATACGCTCCTCGTTAGGGATGAAAATACAGCGCATTTAAAATCTTATATAGATTGCGAAAAGAAAAGCTAGTCTTTTCTGAGATTGTCCCTACGTATTTCGGGCGTTGTTCATTGAATATCTATTGTTATAGCTTTGAACCAAAGGACCTGAGAGTTCTCTTTTGTGGCGATCATGAGACGGGGTTTCCCTTTGTAAAGGAAGTTCATTACTTTAATCCTTCTGTTGTAAAATAAATATTTTAGAAAATAAATAGCCTACGTTGACAAACGTCCCATTTTTTAAAGTCAATTACCAAACACAATGTTATCATCCTATATTAAATGATGCTAGAGTAGCTTCCACCTCACAAGTTCGCGCATTCGATATATCATGTCATGTTATATATATTGTTTAAATCTTGTCCGTCTAATCACAATAAATTCTTATTAAATATTAAAATATTACAATAATTAACATCTAAAATATTTATTTTCTTTTGTTCATATCCACTTCTTATACACGTTTTATTTTTGTCATTAGATAAATTTAATTTGATGATAAATTTACATATTCTCTGTCGAAGTCACCGATGACTCACTTTTGTGGGACCGAAACCTCCCTCTTCAGGACTGTGATAGATGAAGATGGATTACCTGTGGAGTAACGGCTGTTAAAAAAAGGACGGATTGTACACATTCACAACCGGTAATTTACATTAAATATTCTCAAAGTGCACTCGGGTTTCTGCGATATATTGTTAAATTTTGCGATGGAATAGATTAACGAAGATCCTTTGTTTCGTTCTTGAAAGTCTGAGTAAACTGCTTCGAGATTTTCCTCTCACGATTTAATATTTGCTGTGCGGAGTGCGTCAGTTTCAACAAGGGGAAACGTGTTTACAGTTTCCTGGTTCCACATGCAAAAAGGGTGTATGTATCAGCATGGATCGATTGATTTGTCTCTCGACTGAACCTGCTTTACAGTGTCCACAAATTCGAGTCCCTTAAAAACGAAATTTGGTATAAACGTTATGCCAATGGAGGCCACTCTAGTCGCAGGCATTTTGCTGTAACATAACATGACATGAGATAGTAAAGTTACGTCATATTGTGATATAATAAAAATATATATTGTTTAAATCTTGTCCGTCTAATCACAATAAATTCTTATTAAATATTAAAATATTACAATAATTAACATCTAAAATATTTATTTTCTTTTGTTCATATCCACTTCTTATACACGTTTTATTTTTGTCAATATATAACATGACATGATATATCGAATGCGCGAACTTGTGAGGTGGAAGCTACTCTAGCATCATTTAATATAGGATGATAACATTGTGTTTGGTAATTGACTTTAAAAAATGGGACGTTTGTCAACGTAGGCTATTTATTTTCTAAAATATAAAATAACATTGCGAGAGAGTGAAAAATTTCTTTTGTTTGTGTTTTGACAGTAATTAATAACCAGCAATTGGAGCTAGGGATGCTGGGATCTTGCGTAGATGATCATAGGATGGAATCACGACTCGGTAATTTTTCTTTATTGCCTGACATTGAAAATGTGTTAAGAAATTACTACTAATACGGTTTATTTTTTAATGACCTTATTACTTAAGCATAATTTCGCCATCCTTTTAAATTTATCAGATATCACCCCAAAGATCTCACTGTAGGTATATTTGTAACTGTTGACTTAAAACGATATTTCACGCATAATTTGTAGGTATATTTGTATACTTCCATACCAAAACTCCCATGCTAACTCACAACCTTCCACATTACACTCGAGTCAAGGTCACCTTAGTTGCTAGGCCGCTGCTCATATCAGCTGCGCGGAAGCTGTCCAGGCGCGAATATGGTGTGTCCACGAGTAGAAAGAGAGTTCATTGTCGAAAAAACGCTTCTGTTCGTGAAGCATTTCGCATTTGGCTACGGTTTATGTTCAATAAAAATAAGTTCGCTGTTCAATAGCCTTTGCATCTTCCCGCTGTTAGTTAGTTAATGACAAGAAATACGCAATTCATTCAGTCAAGTATAAATTAAGCAGGGCCCCTTATCAGTCTATTCTGTTGCAATGTTCCTACAAAGCAAAACACAGACAAATGTGAAACGCACTCATGTTTCATCTGGGATTCGAACCGAAGATCCCGGCTTACAAGCAATTCCATGGCCGTGCGCCCATTTTGAACTTGGCAGATTCTCGGTTCCCTCTGGAACAACTGTCAGATTCTAAAGATGGAATTTGTTGCACTGCGTTAGTTAGCGATAAATGTGTGTGACATGCCGGTATTGAAACTTTACGTTATGTGACAGGGATTTCCTTGTACCGATGCAATAAATATCGATTGCATGGCCTGGATTTTATTGGAAGAGCCTGATAAAATCCCACGTGGAAGTTAAGGAATGATTACAGGGCGTGTTAGAATTTGCACAATTTTTTTTTAGAACTTTTAAGTAGATATTTAAAGCAAAATTTGTTGTTATGAGATCAGGGAATTGGTTCGCTCCTCCATTCACAAAATAACATTTTGGTTATTTTCTGTCCGCTTGAATAAGTACTTTGTCAACACGCGGAATAGTCAAAATTTTCGACCAGGTCCTATCGATTGGTTTGTAACAGGAGGACCGCGTCTTCAAGTGCCAATGGTTTTTCAGCAACACTAAAACTGAACTGTGTTTCCATAGCACACATTACAACATCCTTCGTCCTCAGTTTAACGGCCCGGTCACTGTGTTATTTTATATTACGCAGGTGTACAGAGTGGAACTCACCAGACCCTCCTGCAGGAACTCTTCGATGGCCAGTGTGACCCCCTTCTCGTCTCCCGTCCAGAAGACGTACTCGGCCATGTCAAGCGGTGAGTACTGCACTCCAGCATAAGACGAGTACTTGTCCGCCTGTAAACATTAAGCCTCTTATTACTTTTTGGTCGCAGGAGGGATTTATTAAGTTGGGTGCAGCTGAATGTGGAAGAAATCACGCTTTTCGTCTTGTTTTATTTATTTTTAGTGTTCTGTCTGAGGACAGGTCCATATGAACAGGATCCTTCCATCCTTTTCTCGGACTGGGACCTGTTCATATACGTTCTTGGCAGATGATCCAGAAGTGTTTTGCCATTGCCTTCTTCTGTGTGTGAATTGAGTAATTGTTGGGATGCCACGGAGGAAAACTCCGTGTTGCCTAGACCACGGCCTTGCCCAACACAAGTTATAAATTCGGGCACCGCCGGGAATCGAACCCGAGACCCCCAGGATTACAAGGCCAGCGTTCTAACCGCTAGACCACCGTGGCTATCACGTCAGAAGTACCGCGCAAGAATTCTCCTCCCACTTCAAACGCTGGATTTCAATTCGCTCTGCAAGACTGACTAAAAGATGCGTTATCTTATGTCCAACAAAGCGATCTGAACAATTATCGGGCGTCTTTCCGCGAATATGTAAATGGAAGTTTTTACTTGGTTGTTATGGCCGTCACCCGATGAAAGAACTGTGTTGAAGTTCTATAAAAATTCAGCTGATAATTTAGGAATTATTTTAGCCAATAAGGGCTTATATTTTACTTTTGCACAAAACAGACGTGGCCTCGTATTTTGCCAAGTACTGACCAGAAGCGAAATACCATTTCTGAAAAGAGCGTAATTGGGATAAAGTTTTATTTTAGCCATTTTGAAACAGCTTCGATTGCCATGAAAACGAGAAGAATATGCCAGGGGCTCATGCAAATATTTTTTATTTTTATCTGGATGTCAATTTATTTGGTAATGAAGGCGTACAGTCGAAAGGCCTTAATCGAATTGAAACCGAGTGTATTTTTGCTATGTATTTTTTGGTTTTCACATTTTATTTCACGAAGGACGGACTGAATTGTAAACATTTTGATGAATCGTATAAAAAAGGAAGGAAATGCTTATGAAAAATATTGCCAATATCGTATAATAAAATCAAATGTCAGAACAGAAATTCAAATAGAGTTGGTTTCAAGCGATGAATGAAGGAAATGTAAAAAGTTTATATCCAGGTCAACCTGGAATTTCAAATTTTTTTCCTCATCGCTGCATGTTTAATATTTATTTATGTAACACGACGAACTACGTACGGAATTTAGTTTCTTGAAAAGCTCAGCTGCACAAGAAATTCTACATCTTTTATGGAACCAAAATGTTTGTTACCGCATTCACAAGAGCCCGCCACCTGTCCTTTCCATGGGAAGGACATATCGAGCCCGTATACTAACACGCCATTTGTTTAAAATAATTGAGACACCTCTCCCAAAAAAAAAATCCTCTTCAGAATTCGTAACCAAAATTTTCGACAGACTTTTCACACTTTTATCTCCCAACGCGTGCTACATGCCCCGTCATCTTATTCGTCCTAAAAGTGTTTGCTGAAGAGCGTAATTAATGAACATCTTCACCGTTCAACTTTCTTAAGCCTCCCGTCACTTCAGTTGTTACAGGTCTGAAGAATCTCCTTAGTAACCTTTTACAACGCCACCAGCCCGTGTTATTTTCTCTATGAGAGACCAGGTTTTACACCCATACAAAAGAAAAAGTATATTAGTTTTGTATCTGTTGATTTAGCGTCAAATCTAACTTGTATTTTAAAGTACTTTCTTTCAAGCCTCGATCAGTATCGGACACCATCTTATGAAAAATGCTGGTCTTCCAAACCTGTTTCTGATAGTTAAACTAGACGCGTTCAAACGAAGTCTTTGTGGTACACCCCTGTCCTTACTCCCTCCCTAATATATTTCTATAATTAGCAGTTTTTTTATTTTGTTCTCCCCACGTCAGTCTATACAACTTTTAAGGGATTTTGCATCAAAAATTTTGTACATATTTCTTGTTATCATATACTCAATTACATCGCACATGATTTAATTTCTTTAACCCTTTGAAGCCGAAGATCGTCTGAATATTATTTATGAATTCAGTCTGTACCGCGAAGAAAACACTACACCTCACCATTACGAAAATCAGCTGGTTAACCCTTTGAAGCCGAAGCTCGTCTTCATAATATTTACGAATCCAGACCGTACCGCGAAGAAAACACTTCACTTAACCATTAGAAGTCGAATCAGGCGGTACCACAAAAGATTTAACAAAAGAACATCCCGGTCAAAGCCTTAATACGTCTTGTAAATTGATTTCTTTTGTTGTGGTTACGAAGTTACTGCGAATAATGTTTTGGCAAGCCTTAATATTATATTTCCGGCGTTGTAAAATGGATAAAAACATATGAAATTAACTTTTATCCACGACAGCGTCATGGTGGAATCACTGGGAGTTATTATTCACGCCGTCAAATATAGCGAATGATTTGAGGGAGCGGAGCTTTGACACAAGTAGCTTATCCGTATTTTAAGTACATTCGTCTAATTCCAGACACCAAAAGTTGTTATCAGATGGTTATCGCTACTGCTTCGTATTCAGGAGGTCCTGAGTTAAATCTTGTCACGGCGACTGATCTTATATAGATTGGGCGACGACCGATTTGTTACCAATTTATTTTCTCTCTTATCATCCAGTCATTCGAAACTGTATAACGTAACACACTGAAAACGTCGTTAAATGAATCAGGCGTGGAAACGCAAACCGCGAGAGACGAACGTAGAATTTAATTTTGGACCGAAGAACCGATGTGTTTGACTTTCGTAAAATCCGCACTCAGAGCAGCCCTTGTGACCAAACCCTCATGGGCTTTAGAAGCTGTCAGATCACGAGTTGTCTCCTCAGGACCCCAAATGCATTGTCTTACGTACGCTGTTGCGACGCTCCACGTTTGCGACATCGCTGACCACGGTCCGGTGAATCCCCTGACTGGGTACTTCGACCTCGGTGAGGATTTGGGTGGCCGGTGTCGCCCCTTCCACTGGATCCTGCTTGGTTTCCACCTTCTGGTCCACGCGGGACACTAACTTTCCATCCCGGTTAACTGCAATAAGTCACAGAGCCTTATATATTAACAATTTGTCAAAGGTTTTCGCGGCTGAAGTCCTTCGTATGATTTCGATTTTAGGGGTGAGAATCGAGTCTATAAAATTGTATTATGCTCGCCTTGTAGATGGCAACTCCAGTGTTTGCCGAAACGTTTATTAAATCCAAACATCAAAATCCTTCAGACTGGTTTTTAGTGTAATTTTTCGGGTAATGGGAGCCTGAAATTTTGTTGTGCTAAGACTGGGCTTTAGGACGTGACTTGCCTTGTTCGCGCGTCTCGGAGTGGCCTTTCCTCTGACCGTTGATATCCGTGAACACGGAAGAATGTGTTTTTAATACGGAGAACGTTTTATCTGGAACACAGAAACATTATAAATGCTGGATACAGTAGTTAGTAAACAGTATCATCACGCCTATTTTAAACTAGCGGAAGAATCTGTAATCGTTGAAGAAAATTTCTCTAAGTTGGAGTTAATCTCCACACCAAATTTTATTGAAATCCGTCCATTGGTTCTCGAGTTTAATCGACTGGGCAGACGGATGGACTGTTATGATCAACTCATAATGTGGAACGAGGCCTTGAGGCCGGTACAGGCAACTGACTAACTAAGTATTCACGAAAAATAAACGCGATTTTCGTGTCGTGTTGAATATATTTTGCTGTCTTATATCCCCTTATTCAATATTGAATATTATAAGTACATAAGCCGTTATTTCTTTCAAATGATTACATGAAACATTCCTTGAAGTGTTCGCACTTTCCATCGCTTATGGCCGCCGATGATTTCCAAAGTAACGTTTAATCGGTAAGATACATGAGTTGAGAGGCGGCTAGCTAGAGATTGTGTCTAACTAGGTTACTAGTAAGGTAGTATATTTGCGTCATATTGTGAATTAAGTTAATATTTTAATATTTTCCGTCAAATCACAATTTTTAATAAGATAATAAAATATAAAATATTTAAAATATCATCTTACGAGACGTTCCAATTTGTAAATCGATCATTCGATGCGGAACGTGAAATGATATTTTAAATATTTTATATTTTATTATCTTATTAAAAATTGTGATTTGACGGAAAATATTAAAATATTAGGTTACTAGTGCCTACCCAACACGGGGAAGTGGTTTCTAGAACAGCCTAGACTGGTTATTAATTAGATAAACGCAATAGATGATCGCGTTGTATTCCTAAAATCAAACCAAAGATTTCCTTTAAGTATGTGGTCGAAACCGCTTTGTTGGTGAGGCATTACAGTATTACCTACCATGAATTCTTGGCGTAAAAAGGCCTCAGATATGCATTCAAACACACCGAGAGCATTTTCAGGAATGTTTATAAACATTTGGTAAACATTAACACGCTGTCATTTTTAAATATTTTTCGTAGTTTCATATCAAGAACATGCCGGTCTAACAGATTACTATCTAAGAAAAATAACCTCTGTAGTCGATACAACGTCATTTAATTGCGAACAAGGTAACCGTTCGGGATCAGGCACTGAATTAATTGTACCCAACTTATTGAAATTTAAGTTTTTTTTTTCACGGATGTGGAATGCAACCATCAGTTAGTTAGTTTATAATCCGAGTAAAAAGTCAGTGATAGTTATTGAAATAAGAATTAATTTTTGTTAATATGACATCTTTAACCTACCCTAAGTTAATCACTAATTCGTGCAGTTGATGTAAGGTTTAAATTCAAGAAATGTTACTTATAATGCAGCGTTTCCATTTAGGATTCCAGGATCTTCGTTGTTGGGGACATAGTCCGTTGCTACATTGAGTATAATCGACTACAAAGAGAGCAAACTTACCGAAGGAGTGTTT